AACATTATTATATGAAGAGAATGCGGCATGCATTGCACAGATGAAAGAAGGATATATTAAAAGTGACAAGACCAAGTACATATCACCAAAATTCTTTTATGCATATGAATGCCAGAAAAATGGTGTTATTGATATTTAAAAGATATGTTCATGTGAAAATCTATCAGATTTATTCACTAAAACACTTCTAACTACAACATTCAAGAAACTGGTGCACAACATTAGAATGCGTCAACTAAAGGATCTTCAGGGTTGATCTAATGCAATAATAAGGGGGAGCAATTGATCAAAGAAGTATTGGCATATTGTATTCTTTTTCTTTCATCTAGATTTTTTCCCATTGGGTTTTCCTGGCAAGGTTTTAATGAGATAACTTTAATCTATGCAATACCATTTTCAGATACACAAGAATAATGTACTCTTTTCTTTCGCTAGGGTTTTGTCCCACTGAGTTTTCCTCAGCAAAAGTTTTAACGAGGAATTTTCTTAGTGTAGTTTTGTAAATCCCAAGGAAGAGTGTTATATATTTGATTGTGTGGGGTCCACTTGTAATTGAAATGTGACAGTAAGCATTGGAGTGCAACTTGATAAACAAGATGCTTGTTGCCCACGTTTTTTATTGCTATAAATAGACACCATATGTATACAATTGAAAATTGAAGAAATAAAAAGCAGCTCTCTCTCTCTCTCTCTCTCTCATTTTTACATATCTCTCTCATCTTTACATATCTCTTTGCATATATCTATTTATACTTCAATATCATATTCAAAAGAGTTTGTGCTTATTGGAACGAATACCAAATTTTATTAATGTAGGCCTTAGTGTATTAGATAAAACAAAAATTACACATTTTTTCTTTTCAAGGTAGAGAAATTACAAGAATTACAATTAGTAGTAGTTAAGATCATTTAAAAAGTTAGTAAACAAATGGAACTTTGTTTACTACGTTTGTATCATTAGATTAGATTGTCATGTATTAGTTTGTTTTAGGAATACACACCTAACTGCTACTCCCTCCGTTCCTAATTAGTAGTTTATTTTTTTCTTTTTACATATTTCAAATTAGTTGTTTTCTTTGAAAAATTAAAGTATTTTTTTATTATATTTTCATCATTGTCCTTTATCTTTTTAAAATTTTTTCAAACTTTGTAACTATATATATTTAAATTAAAAAGGATAATTTGGTAATTTTAAAAGGGAACAATGAATTAATTGCATATTTCTTTAAAAACCTTAATTTTTAAACATAAACTTTTATTTAGGAACTGAGATAGTATATATTTAATTTCTTTGACCTTTTTGTGAGCTACTAATGAATTGATATGTATATATATTTTTTAAAAAACTCGCTCCGGCCATCTATTATGGGAGGGAGGGAGGAACTAAAATTAACGACTGTGACTGTTGCTTCAAAGCCATTGAATATGGTGGATCTCTGAATATATATATATATATATATATATATATATAATGGTGGATCTCATGATAGTGATGGCACAAATGTGGAAGTGTGTGGAAGTGTCAAAGGTGACAAAATAGATTGTAATTACACACACACACATATAATGGTGGATCTCATGATAGTGACGGCACAAGTGTGGAAGTGTCAAAGGTGACAAAATAGATTGTAATTATATGATGATATCAACTCTTTATATATGGACGGACGGTTTACCCACTAAATTGAAATTGATACCTCTTTATATATGGACGGTTTACCCACTAAATTGAAATTGGTTACATTACATGAATGGTATCTTTAGAGACAATCTTAGATGTTTTGGGAATATTTTCAAAGGCATTGTTTTTTCCTTAAGAGTTAATTCTCTCATCAATTGTCTTTCTAGCTAATTAGTTTTTGTTCCGTATATATATTTTTATTTATGTCAATTATTACTATTTTTTTTTAATGGAATCATGTGTTTTATATTGTTTAAAATTGGATTATGACTTGATTATCGAAATTTGATGAATTAAATCGCGATAGACGATTATGTATCGGATAGACAGAATGATTTTATCTATTACAATGTGGTTTTTCACATTTAATGATGAAATTAATAGTATTGTTTGATTTCTAAATGTTCATTATGAAAAGGGATGTTCAGATAAACTGTTTGTTATATCACTTGAAGTTATCTTTCTGCACTTTATAAAAGGCTTAAGGCTTCTTTAGTGGTATATGTCCGGACAAGTACTAAAAACACTTCTAAAATATATTCTGCATAGTAATTTTATTCCTTATTTAAAAAAATATGCAAAAAATATCCCTAATCTTTTTACATTGTGCAAAAATACCGCTCTAATATAAATTAGTGTTGTAATACCCTTTTTGTCATTTTACTTTTTCGAAAATGCCCAAGAAAATATATATGCTACTAATCTCATAATATATGGGTGTTATGTACACATTACCTTATATATATATTTTTAAATTTTTATTTATTTATATATATATTTCTAAATATTTTTTATTTTTTTAATTTTGAGAATTTGTAGAATAAGGATTTGAATTTTTTGACATTTCAGTTTTCTCTTTTCTACTATTTTTATTTTTTATTTTGTTTTTATTATTTTTTTTTGTATCAACACTGTGAAAAAAAAAAAAAATCCCAATATTAGTGTGCACGATTTTTAGAATTTGAAAAAATTTTGTTTTCTTTAATTTGCACTTTATTTTTATTTTCTACTTTTATCTTTACTTTTCTTTTATACTTTTATTTTTATTTTATATTTTTATCTTTACTTGTCTATTGTCGGCGTCCTTCAATAGTGTCATTTTGGGCCATTTTATAAAAATATTTATTTTTATATATTTTATAAAATGGTTCAGTAAGGGTAATTTAGTTAACTTAGAATTTAAAATTGTCAGGACTTGTTTGTACCAAATTGAGATTTTAGGGGTGTTTTTTGCATAAGAGGGGCATCCTCTATTGGTGTTCTTTTTGGTCATTTTATAAATTTATTTATTTTTATATACTTTATAAAATGGCTCCGTAAAAATAATTTAGTCAACTTAGGATTTAAAATTATTAAAGGAACTTATTTACACCACATTAAAACTTTAGGAGTGAATATTTAGAAATGTTTCTTGCACTTGACATATCATCTGTCACCAAAAAAAAAAAGAAAAAAAAGAATAACATATATTTTTTGCAGTCAGAAATAATTTTTAGAAGGGTCTTTTCATGTACTATTTTCAGATAGTTAATTAATTGATGCATTTGCACGTAGTACATACAGAGTAAGTTCCAAGGAAAGACAAGCAATTAACAAACCAGGGAAGTTAGTGAATTACTCTATTCATTCAAAAATTCTTATTCATCTTTTTATTTTTGAATTTTTCAAAATATATGTCTCATTTAAAAAATAAATGCATTATTATTTTTAACTAAATAAGTGCACTAATTTACTTTTTAATAAAGATAAATTTTATTAATAAGAGTGAAATTTTAAATTTATCTTTATTAAAAAATAAAATAGTAATTCGTAATTATTTCTAATAGAATTTATCTTTATGCAATGACACAACACGGGACTATTAAGAGAATTATGTAATTTAAGATATACCATTCATCCTGTATACAACAGACTACAATACAACAAAAACAGAACATTTAGTAAAAAATTTTTAATCTTCGAATGATTTAAAATGCCTTTTATTTTTTATTTTCAGTAAATATTAAAATGAGTTATATTGTAAATTCATTTTTAGTGTAAAACATGATTCGGTCTTCTTATTTGACTTAACTATCCTTATTGAAAATTATTTTTCATAAAAAATAATTAAATAAAAAATTCAAGAATACTTAGCTCCCAGTGTGTTTTGATTGTGTACCCTTTCGGAGTCCTCGGGATTAGTCAAAGCTAAGGGACAGAGCCATTTAGAAGCCAGTGGGGGGCAATTGCCCCCACTGATTTTTGTATTTTTTAGTAATACATCTTGTCAATTTACATTTTTTGATATATACCTATAAAATTATACTAAAATTATTAAAAAATTACACTATCGCCCCCCTTACACAATTTTCTCGCTCCGTCCCTAATCAAGGCAAAGCTTCGAAAATCCGGGTTAACTTAAAAAAAGAAAAAAGAAAAAATAGAAGGTGTGTTTTGGTTGTCTCACTGTCAAAGATTAATCTTCTTTTAAGATTTGAATACATTATATGGAAAGGTCTGTTTGAGTCCAATTCAAGTAGAGAACCCATACTAATTTTTGTAATATTTTCTTGACAATTCAGGTGGTTTACGACAGAAGTCCATTAGGCTTTATGCTGATTCGGTCTAACATTTATTTTTCTATAATAATATTTTTTTATCCAAAAACTCTCTGTCAAATGGCTCAAGACCAGTTTGAATGCTTTATTCACTAAGCTCCATAGAAATATAATATAATTCTAGGAACTTTTGTTCCGTTATTCCCTACTCATTGTCACAAAAATAAAGAAAACTTAACAAACTACTTAAACTCTATAGAAAATTTAGAATCACTCTAAAAGGATATTTTATTCCTTACTCATCATCACACAATTGCAGAAAACTTTAAACTAATAAACTAAAGCCAGCCTTTATTCCTTGCTCATTGTCACACAATTAAGGCCTGTTCGGCATACATTTTGTTTTAGGTGTTTTGTTTTTAACTAAAACACAAACAGTGTTTTTATTACAGGAGTGTTTTGGAAAAAAACACAATCAAAAGCACGTTTGGGAACGATATTTTGAAAAAAAATGTTAGGGCCCGTGTTGCGCTACTGTTATAGTTTTGGGTCATAAACAGTTGTCAAAATAAGAAAAAATAACTTTTTGGTGTTTTGGTTTTGGGTCACTGTTCACGAAGTGTTTTAGCACTATGTAAAATAAAATAAGGCCGCACAAAAAATGATTTTGTTGCTAAAATCAATACTGTAACAGACCAAAAACAAAAATAATAGAAACAAAACGCATGCCAAACGGGGCCTTACAGAAAACTCTAGAAACTAATACACTAAAGCTTTCCATGTGATATCAAGCATTTCATATAGATATCATGTAACTTTCGGCTAAGCATACATGTGTAACTGGGGTTCGAGCCTCCTCAAGAACGTTGTGAAGGTTATTTGCCAAGAAAAAAAAAAAAAAAAATTAGATTAACCTAATCGATTCTTTGAGGGCCTTGTTTGGGCTTCACATGTTCATCTCACACAATAGGCTTTTTTAATGCCATATCTTCCATGTCCACATTGAGGTTGTTGCCACCATCCCCTTTGTACTTGTACCACTTTGTGCACATTAGAAAGTAGCCCAAATTTATGACCTCCAAAACACCAATTAGGTAATAAAAGTAATCCAATCTTCCCTTGTTAAGATCTTCTTCAAACCAATTCCCTGTTGCAGATTTCTTGGTTGTGTGGTGAACCATTGACACCATCAAAGCACTCAAATAACTTGACCCTGCTAAGCCACAAAAGAAGAAAGAGCCACTAATGCTTCTCATGTTTTCCGGGAACTGTTTGTAGAAAAACTCACTAAGCCCGATGAGTGTGAACGCTTCAGAGAGACCCGTTAGTGCCAACTGAGGTACCAACCATAAACCCGACATGGAAGAAATGGCACCTTCTCGCGCCACGTTCCCTAATGTTGGCTCAGTGAGAGCCAGAGTCCGTCTTCGCTCCTCTACAATGCCGGATACAATCATGGTGACCACGGATATGACCATGCCGATGCCAGTCTTCTGGAGGAGTGTGATGCCATCTTCTATTTTCGTGCGTTTCCTGAGAAATGGGACTACGATCCTGTCATAGATTGGTATCCAGACAGTGAGGCTCAGCATGTTGAAGAAAATGTAGGATGCTGCCGGGATCTTGAATCCCGTGTTGCCAAGGCGCCTGTCGCATTGTAGAGCTTGGAACACCGCGTAGTTTTGTTGTTGGATTACTGCAATGTTGTAGAAAATTAGGGAAACCCATATGGGAATCACTCGCATCAGGCATTTCACTTCCTCCACTTGCTGGATGCTGCAGAGTTTCCATGGATTGGCTGCGGATCCGTCTGAGTTGATTTCGTCTTTGGGGGTTATGACTGCTGCTTTGTTCAAAAATCTGAAATAATCATAATACTCCATTAAGGAATTGCTTTGTCAAATTCTAAGTCAATAAGATTCATTACCAAAGTGTGTAACAAATTGGTAATTAGCTAGTTAAAAAAAAAAAAAAAAATGATGTTTCCCTTTGATTATTAAATACTCTGATCACAAAGACAAATGAAGTGAACTAGGATGCAAATGCAGACTAAAAAAAAGAGTGACAGTAGTAAGAGAGTGACAAATTGAATTGACTCGATCTAATTGAAGTGTAATACCATCCAAAAGAGGCAGACTATTAGAGGTATTTCACGTCGGATCCGAATTGAAAGTTAAATGGGTGGGCATTCAGTACTACCCAATAGATTAAACTTTTGGGCCAGCAGGTATGCACCCATCCGTTATAGTTGGTATTAGAGTCACACTCAGTTTTTGATCCAGGGTCGCGCCAAGCACCTGTGCCCAAATGAGTCCGGATTGTCACCCTAGAGGAATTGCAAGAGGGGAGGTCGGATCCAAATAAAATGTAAAATTAGTATAAATAAATGAATATGTAACATTATCCAATAACATAAGCTTTTAGGTCAGCCAACAAGCACTGCAGGTTGCAACAACCATATTGCTTTTGCTATGCTTATCCTTTCACTTTTACGGTAAAAGGGACAAAAACTTGTCACACATCAAGTATTGAAAGCACCACACACATTTACAAATTAATGAAAACCTGAAACAAGTGTTCCTTTGTTGATTGATTAAATTGGCCAAAAGTCCCACAAATAAATTGGGCAAGTTTGTTAACATAAAAACATGTAAAGGACAAAGGGAACACATTCTAATAGTTATGACTTTAGACCAAAATTTTCAGCGACATAAATTTACAAAAGAATGCAATATGTCAGCAGTTAGAGTTGGCTACCTGAACTGATCTGTATAAGGAAGCCTTGAGTTGATAGAATTTGCCAGATAATGGTTAAAAAGGGAGCACCATGGCCTCTCTGGTAACTTCAATGGTCTCTTCTTGAATGCTGCCACCATGACCTGCGCGACACTGGTCAAGGGACTACCCTGGGGCGTCACCTTGACGTATATTTTCGTGCCCGCAAAGAAGAGTGCACACGAGAAGAACATCATAATGCTAGGAACGGCCAATCCCAGAGCCCAGCTCACATCGGATTGCACGTAGACTATGGCTGTCAAAGATATCATCATGGCAAAAGTGTAGGTGAAGTAGTACCAATTGAAGAAGCTGGTAATTCCCCTCTTCCCGGATTCAGTGTTGGGATTGAATTGGTCCGCGCCAAACGCCAAATTACATGGTCGAATACCAGCAGCACCAACAACTAGTAGGCCAAAACCACTCAACAGGAAAGTCATTTGCCATGCTGTTGGCCCTTTGCATATGTCAGTAGCTTTCGTTCCACAGCTGGGAGGATGCAGCCTTGAGACTGCAGCTGTTAGTGCAAGTACAAGCATCCCCTGTAGTTTAAAGATGACAAAACTAGAGAATCAAATGTCTTTGCAGAATGATATTTTTTGTGAAAATTGCAAGTTTAAAATTTCCTAGTGAAGTTAATGCCAACTCTAGGTTCAAGTGAACCATATGTTCAATTGTTTGTTATGTTGGTTGATCTAAATATTGCTAAATTATAATTGCTCTTTTTTGTGCTGTTATTTATTTTTTTAAAAAAAATTTCCCATTTTATATTTCATATTTAGGAAGATGTCTATGGTAGGTGTGATTCATCCCCTCCCATTATTCTCTTATAGCAAACTTTTATGATTTATGGAACTCTCCTTTCTTGTTCAGTTCTTTTCCCACTATATAGTCCCATGCAATAACCTACAATTAAAATCTTGTATGAAAAATATAAACAAATTTTTGTGATTACACCTAGAAAAATAAAATCAAGTGGCTAAAGTTCCCTTTCTATATATGATAGTTTAGATAGATATTTCTATAACAATTGGTAAGTTAATTTGAGGATTAAAAATTTTGGGTGTACCAGAAAAGAGGATACTGAGGAAAATCCCAATGTTATGTAGCGGCCAAAGTAAGCGTCGGAGAGGAAAGCTCCTATCAAGGTACCAAAATTGCAAGTTCCATTGAAGATGTTGAGGAGATTAGTTGCTGTAATTGTTTTCATGTGGAAGACAGTGCTGAGATAGACCAAGAGGTTAGATGTGGTGCCAATTGTCCCCAGCTTTTCAAAGGTCTCATTCCCTGCAAGATTTTTGTATGTCATTACATATGAAAATTCAATGGAAGAAGAAAACTGAAAGATTGTTAACTCGAAAAGAAGAAGAAGCATATTGCTTGTTTGTTTTATTTCTCGGAAAATAAAAATATGTTTTCAAAAAATTATAAAAAGACAGTCATTTCAAAATAGACATTTTGTTAATGGAGTTTTCAAAAATTATCAACTAAGAAAGTTTTTAACAACCAAAAAGGCCCAAGCATGATCGTAAATGTGCATTACCTATGACAAAAGGCATGGCTATAACTCCTCTATGCTTGGGCTCATTACTTGTAACCTCTTCTCTATTCTTCTCCATGGTTATTCTTTTAGAATTATGTCTTTCACATTCTTCATCTCTTGCTGGGCTTGTTATAAATTATAGAAAAGTAGGTGAATAGAACATAGACAATTTAGTGGCCAGGCAACTGTGCCAAGCATAATCATGCCCTAAACTGTCAACATGCTTGTAATATATAGTCTTTTCCAACAAATCAACTTCTTTTTGTTTGACTTTCAAATAAAATAAAATAATATATATATATTTTTTATCATTTATTCGCATTAATATTTCATTTACAAAAATTATCCTATATAATACCCTCTTTCAGTTCCTTTTTCTTCATTCCAGATAAAATAAAGTTCAATTTTTTTTTTTTTTTGAATTTCCCTTTCATTTTTATAGTGTTCCCGTTTTTCTTTTTCTTTTTCTTTTTTTCATTTCCCCTTTCTTGTAGTGGAAAAAAAAGGTAATATAAGGTCCTTTTCTTGTTCTCCATAACCCACTTACTCTCTCTCTCTCTCTCTCTCATAGCACGTGGCCTTTGATATAAAGTTTTTCAAAAATGCAGTTGATTCACAAAATTATCAGTCGCCCAATGTCACTAGAAAATCAATATTTTTGTATAGTTGAGCTTTGTTTGTCCTTTGCCCATTGCACTGAAGGAAAGTATCTCTCAAGTCTATCAACATGATTAACAATGATGCTCTAGTCTGTGGTTAATATTGTTTCTGGAAAGCAGTGATCATAAATGGAGAGAAGTAAAAAGTGCTATATAGGGACAAAATGAAGTAACATCACTTCGATTTTGTGGACGAGCTTGTTCGACCCTCCGATTGCATCGAAGATCAAGGCTTGGAAAAATTCCCAGTCCGATCAAGCCCTCACTTGAATCTATCGCCATCACTGGAAAATTAGTGCTCCGTCCACCTTCTCTGCCGCCGCCGACACTTTTAAACCATAGAAGTTATAGAACCCTTATTTTGGATTTGCTTAGGTGAAGGATGAGAATTGGATTTGAGAGATGGGCTTTTTTGTCTTTTTAAAATTTGTCATTTTTTGTAATAAAATACCAATAAATATAATGTGAGCAATTTCAAAATTTCATTCCATCCGTCATTCAACACCTCTAATAAAGAAGGTCATTGTTATTTGACAATATCAACGAAACCTCAAGAAACTCAGTGTAATATGCCTTGTAAACAATTACATATAAATTAATATTACATGAAAATTTGTTGCAATAGCATTGATGTTAAATTCATTACCAATAAAAAAATAATAAAATACAATAGTAAGGCTCGTGTATATTTTACTTTCTGTTGCCTATCTACTGGTTTAAGATTCTTCCGATGTGTGTCAAAGAAAGATGAGCCTCACAATGTGCTAGTTTTCCCATTTTAGCAATGGTTGAGCACTCAAATACAAGATTATATTCTAGTGATTTTCAAAAGAAAGGCTATAATATCTCACTGTGTAGTGGTGTTACTATATGATATATATATATATATATATATATATATATATATATATATATATATTTCTTTTCTTTTAATTTGGGTAATTCCAATTAGAAAGAAAGTCAACTTTTGAGGGCCACCCACATAAAAGCCCATTCTGTTTCTACTCTCTATTTATATGTTCCATAGTTGAACTGGATACGTAGAAAAGCCCATATTTTTTTTTTTTTTTTCACTGCTGACAAGAGTACATAACAAAGGCAAAATAGCTCAGTGCCTTAGCGGTATTGGATTCCTACTTTTCAATGATAGATCAAAAATTCGAGCCTTAGTGGAGACGTGTACGTAAATACTAATTAAGAAAAAAAAACGTATCCCCGCTCCGTGTCATGAGAGAGCCAAGAGGGCCAAACAGACTGCTCAAAATCACTTGAATATTATTCAAAGAATAGCCAAATTTTGACCTTCCCTCAAAACCATGTTTTTATGTCATAACACATCATTGAAAGAGAGACATTCATGTCATAAGTACATGTTCTCTGCATGGGTTTCATATATTCTGCTTCATGCTGTGCCAATAATGCATTTATTTCTTTTCTATATATGATTTTTTAAGGATATGGATAAGACATTGATATGTAAACCATAAAACAAAATTCCATATTTAGCCTAATTCTCTGGCCCCCAACCCTCGTCTTTCTCTCACTTTCGGTTTGGCTTTTAGTACTCTTTCACGACCACACTGACGTATCAAAAAACCATAAAATCATTCACAAGAAACAAAGGTTATCTTGAATCCACATAAAATAAAATAAAATAAAATAAAAATTAAAATTGAATCTGATATTGTATTTGATAAAAGAATATATATATATATATATATTTTCCTACTCTTGCAATACATATTTTTAATGTAGAATAATAAGCTTGATCGCTAAGAAACCTAAAAAACTTAAGGAAACTAATTCCTCAAGGAAATTAAAAATACAAGGAAACGAAACTAAAAATATAAAAATAAAATCTCTCTAAAAATATAAAAATAAAAATAAAAATAAATAAATAAACTTAATTAAAATAAATATTAAATTCTGTTATGCATCAATCCCCCACCACTTCAAAGAAACCCGTCCTCGATATAAGAATGAACAAAATTTGGTACCATTGACTTGACCTCGATCAATTACACATAAATTTGCTGTAGAATTTTCACCAATATTTTTTCTCTTTTCTTCTACTTTTTATGATAATCAGCAGATTCGGCACCCATGACCACCATTAGGAAAGAGCCCGTGAAAATTATCATTGGGTTCCACATATCCAAAAAAACTGATTGCGAGTATGCACCATTGAAGTCAGGCTACCAAATTCAAATTTATCAAACTTGCACTCATCCAGCCAGCACCTTACTTTTGGCAATTTCCTTTGTCCATGCTTACAAAGGTAGATTCCCACATCCAATCACAGCTAGGTGATTCAGAATAGAAGTAATGATTGTATCTATCAAACATGATTAGCTTGTCCATGGCATTATTTGGGACTTGGATATGTACGATACCCACTGATACAAGTATACTCTGAAGCTCATCTTTATTTTTGATCCAAACTATACCAACACCATTGGCGTATGTGATCATCTCCTGAGACTCTTCTAGCTCTTTGTTATCTTCATCTTTCAAACACGGGTCCCTGTTTTTACTCGATATCTCGCTGCCAACATCCTTGCCTTTAGTGTGCTTGAAGTAGGACAAGTTTATTAGGTTTTATATTATTTTTATTTTTATTTTTATTTTTTATAATTTGTAGGGAATTTTTTAAAAGTTTTTAGTTTCCTTCAACCATTCGTTTCATTTTATTATTAAGTTATCTTATGTTTTTATTTTCCTTTAGAAATTAGTTTCCTTATTGCATTACCGTTTCTCTATTATAAATATTCATATACCGCTAGAGCATAATATAACCTTTTATCAATAATAATATTTCATAATTCTTTATGAATTTATCTCTTAAATTTGTGAATTCAAAACCTAATACTTTGTGGATTCAAAGTAACCCATTTCTTGTGAACAAATTTATCGCTTCTGTTATGTCAGTTTGTATGACAAACTTTGTTTACCCTGGGTTAATGACGATTGATCGTTTTGATAGCAACCGTTCTCGTGACGTTGATCGGGGCATGCAGTCCCCTTAGTGGTTCGTGGCAACTGGTTTCGGGATTGGTGGCAACCAGGTTCGTGGTTCAGTTCGAATTCGTGCTGATTATATGTCTCATAGCCAACCGAATATGGATTATATTCCTGTATATTCACATAGGCCTCCAGCCTCTGCGGATTCTTTTGATGATGAGGAGTTCAGATTTAGAGAAGTTGCAATGGATCGACACGACAAAAACTATAGATATCCGAACACTCGTAAGTTTCAGAAAAAACTACATTTCCTTACTTTTAGTTCTGGTTTTTGTGCTGAGGATGTCTTGGATTGACTTAATGAAGTTGTTTAATTTCTAAGTATTTTGATATACCAGAACACAAACAAGTTCCTCTTGTAGCAATCATACTTAAAAAGGGTGCTTCAACTTGGTGGGAACAGGTAAAGACTAATCGGAGGTGGCAAGGAAAACAACATGTACAATGCATGGTTAAAGATGAAAATGTTGTTAATTGCTAAATTTTTACCACCAAGTTATCGATACATGTTGTATCATTAACATCAAAGTTGCAAGAAGGAGGGACAATTTGTCGATGAGTCGAACGATGATAACATCGGGAATAATGATAATTTTGTAAAAGCATTTATTAGTGACTCTCAAAAGACTGATTGCGAGAAAAAAATTATCTCTTCACCGAAGATGATGAATTTGTTCATACTTTAGTCGTAACAGAATTTTTTGATAAGGATTCTAATAATACAATTTCAGAGACCCACTTGAAAAAAATAGTTGATATGTTGAGAGAGGTAGACTTGAAACTGTTGGGAAACGTGCAAATTTTAAAAACTTTTAGAGGGATTTTCAATCATAGATCTTAATTCATCACATTGAGACAAGTTTAAAGCAAAAACAAAATATGATGTATCATTCAATTAATAGATTGAATACATACATTAAGGTTTGAGTAAACCTTAGATCTCTCCTCTAAAGTGAATGTTCTCACTTTTTGTAGATCCCGTTTGCTAGATGCCTTCTCCTTGGATCTCCATCTTCTTCGTAATGGTCTAGCCTTTAGGAATCACTCATAAGTCTCTATGAATGACCTTGGAAAATTAGGCTTGTGGAAGCCTCCATTAAATGAGAAAGCAAACCCTAAAATCTAGAGAGAGAAAAATATATTCCTTTTTCTTTTCTTTCAAAAGTCACTCCTAAAATATACATAAACCCATGTATATATAGGCAACATAAAAATCAGAAAAGCAAATCATAAATCATTCTCCATCTTTAATTCACATATTTCAAATCTAATAAGATTTCAATATCAAGTTGGGCTATGAGTGGGAATCTTATTGGGCTTATTATTTTCTTACCTACAATGAATTAATAATTGGCCCGGTCCATGGACCCAATTAAATTAATTCATTAATTAATTTCTACTCCACTAAAAGAAATTAATTGAGCTCCAATTAAATAATAAATAACCTCTAAGTCAATTTTACACTTTGACCCCTCTATGCATAATTAATTATCGGATAAATAAAACCATCAGTCCGACTACTTAATTAATATATTTATTT